GGGGGGGGTGCCCTCCCCGCGTGGGTCCCACCGGCGCGAAGGGAGCGGAGAGGGGGATGTTCCCGTAGGAATAAACAGCGGGGCTGGGCGAGCCCCGGGGGGTGAGGAGCCTCCGCAGTCCCACAGTGGAACAGTTTGGGGCTTGCGCAAAAGAAACAGCAAAAAACCCAAATATTTGGAGGAGAACGTCACGTATTTTGCTTCCGCGGGGTCCCAGAAAAGTAATTTCCGTTTTAAGCAATGATCCCTTGCGATAAAGGACAGTCTGGGTGGCATTGCTGCAATCGTTTCCGCCAGACGAGCAGCGTAATGATTTCCATAAAAATAACAGCTGCCAAATAGTCAACAATTTCTTCCAGCGATACCTGTCAGAGAGCTCTACACACGATTCACCGAGTGTCGCAATGAGAGATGAGCTTTATTGCCTTCACCAAAACAAGAGGGAAAACTGTGGCAAATGAGGCGGCTTTAGGAAATCGGTGGTTGCGAACATGAAGTTGATGATGAGAAGGTCACCATGAGCCGGCAATGTGCGCTGGCAGCCCAGAAAGCCCCCCGCACCCTGGGCTGCATCCCCAGCAGCGTGGCCAGCAGGGCGAGGGGGGATTCTGCCCCTCTGCTGCGCTCTGCTCTGGGGAGACCCCCCTGCAGTGCTGCCTCCAGCTCGGGGGGTCCAACAGCAGAAGGACACGGAGCTGTTGGAGCGGGGCCAGAGGAGGGCACAAAGATGCTCCGAGGACTGGAGCCCCTCTGCTGTGAGGAGAGGCTGAGAGAGTTGGGGGTGTTCAGCCTGGAGAAGAGAAGGCTCCGAGGAGACCTTATTGCGGCCTTCCAGTACCTAAAGGGGCTACAGGAGAGCTGGGGAGGGACTTTTTACCAGGGCATGTAGTGATAGGATGCAGGGGAATGGCTTCAAACTGGAATAAAGTAAATTTAGATGAGATATTAGGGAGAAATTTTTCACTCTGAGGGTGGGGAGGCACTGTCCCAGGTTGCCCAGAGAAGCTGTGGCTGCCCCATCCCTGGAGGTGTTCAAGGCCGGGTTGGACGGGGCTTGGAGCAACCTGGGCTGGTGGGAGGTGTCCCTGCCCAGGGCAGGGGGGTGGAACGAGATGATCTTTAAGGTCGCTTCCAACCCAAACCATTCCATGACTCTATGATTCTATGATCTTTCCGTATAAAATGACTTATTTCGTCCCCAAACTACTCCTGTAAATCTGCTGTGGTGTCATTATGACCAATGGAACTTCAATGCGAAACCCCAAAAACAGATTTAAAAAATAACCTTAGTGAATATTAATTAGAAGTTAAGAAAACAACGTCCCGTCCATCCCAGGGGACAGGATGGATTAGGCAGCGAGCACACGTGTCTGTGTTTCAGAAAGGGACAGCAGACACGAGGGCCAAACCCTATTCCAGCAGCCGGCACTGCCACCACAGGCGGAGGTGCCTCTCGATCACAGCCACCTCCCCACCCCTCCTCATCCCTCGCTCCTCAAGAGTGAGTGAGAAACCACAACAGGGGACCAAAGTCCTCCTCTGCAATTACTTACTTGTCTACATATAACTTTACTGATGCTTCATTAGGCCTCATTTATTAGCACACTTTATTTCTCACTTGGAGTCGCCTCAGGCTGCGCAGGTACACTTACTCCCGGCGCCATCTGACTGGGCGTTGCTGGAAGACCTGGCGTTCAGTCTTCAAACTCCCCATTTCAGGCTTTTCCTAAGCCACCCCGGAGGGTCATTTCCATCAGAAAAGCTGCAGGCAGTAAGGAGACACCGGATGTGTGCAGAGATGCAGTTATACCTTGGGACTGGGGAACACTGGTCTTCGACCGCAATATGGGTAGTTTGGTCCATTCGAAGTAGATATTTACTTCAAAAGGCACTGAGATACAGCCAGGTCCTGGTTTGAGTGACACAGGACTAATTTCTTTTTCAGTAATTTTACTTTGCAGTAAGGACTCTTCTAACACTGGGGAAAACTGCACTTTTAGAAGACTCTAGTGTCTGAACTGGTGAAAATATTTACTGTATAGCCAGCTATGGTGTGCGGGTTTCAAGGTCTCAGTGTTTTCGAGCTCACCAGGTGCGGGGA